TATTCAGAAAAAAAGGTGAGAGAATTTTTTTCCAAAATTTCGACTCTCAAAACATTTAACTCTTGTTTTCATTTCAATAGATAAAGACTTGTTTATTGTTGTTTTTTCTCGAAGCCATTTCTATAGATTAAAAAAACCCAATGTGAAAAAATGTCGAGTGTATCATTCTTTTTGTAAACAAATCGGTAGAAAATTGAAAGCATTTTGTTTTCGAGATTAATCACTTTGGGAATTCTTTCTAATTGGTCGTGTGTGTGTGTGTTTAGGAAGCTCTCACACAATGGTGTCTTGATTCAAAATTCAGGTTAAGTATGAACGTGTTTTGACTTTTGCATCACGGTAATTGCATTCGGTCGCTTCCTACGTGCTTTGGAATGTTCAATGGAAAAAAAATACACACATCATTAGCATCAACAAGCGTTCACGTTTGTTTCTAATTTGTCAGTATTAATGTAAATATGACGGAGAAAAACAAATCAAAGTTGTTGAACAAGTGAAATGAAAGGCGTGTGCATTGGCATGAAATGTCCAAAAATCTAATTTCAATGGCATCACTCATTGGCTAACATGTAAAAAAAATATTTGAAAAACCACTCAATACCATGTTGTTACACGTGTAAATTAAACTTAATTCTTTTCTTGTGTTTGTACATCTTGGATTTTGTTTGAATAATCTCGACGGTACAAAGCAAATGACCTAACAAAAAAAAGCGAAATCTACTGGAAATTTTACATGTGCACGCATTACGCGTTTCTTTCCATCAAATTGTTCTTTTTGTTGTAAACATCAGATCTGTGCTCGGTATTTGAATGGAAGCGGCTTTGTTTTTACCCGAACTGCATTCGGTTCTATGAGCTCATTCGACATAACAATACACGAAACAAAGCGAATTGTAAAGACATTGTCGTCACTTTTGATCCAAACACTTTCACTGAATTTTTTTGTTTTGCCAAAAAAAAAAAAACAAAAAAACAGCCAAGCATTTTAAATAAAGCCTACGACGAATTAAACGATTTTAATTGTTAGATAAAGCAAAAGCTATGACCCGAAATGAAGTTTTCATTTAATTGATAGTGAAAAGCAAAACATTTTACAAGCAATTATGCTGATGGTGATGAGACGTGTGCGCGTTCGCGCGCTCGTGAATGGTGAAAAGGTCTCCCCAAATGAAATGAGATTTGAAATGACTACAATTTGCGCCTCAACAGCACACTAAAATTGCCGTCGAAATAAGGCATAATTACCCGGAGAAAAGAGTTGAAACACGAGCGCAATGGAAAGAGAGAGAGAGAGAGAGAGAGAGAGAGAGAGAAAACGGAGTGTGATATGATGATAGGGGCGATTAAATGGCAATGTTTGCAATTCATCATTGCGAGGAGGATAGAGATTCACACACAGAGAGAGAGATCATCTCACTCGATTCATCGCAGATTATCAACATTACGCGCGAATAATGCAGCTGATCACTATAATTATTGTTAATAACAGGTCTATATCAAGTCATTAGACCTGTTCTCACATTGTTTGTAATGACAGGCACTTGAGGACTTAACAGAGCAATTGAATAAAAAAAATATCCATCTTAAAAATCTCTTGAGTTTGAGCGATTTTTAATGATTGAAACGTTGTTTAGATGTAGCTCCGGTCGTGTCGACTCGGCAAATATTGGTATTTTCATTAAATCAAATACCATATCAACACCTCACAAATGACACAAACATCACAACGATTTCTGGGTACCGCTAACATAAACGAAAATAATAAACGCAAATAGAAAAGCCCAAATGCAAACAAAACCGAACTGAAGACAAACAACAGCGCATCGATCAAGAACATTGGTACGCTGTGTGTATACACCAAGTACAGACCATGAGCTTCTTCTTGTGCAAAGCTGAATGGTTCTGTATCAGTGTATCAGTAGGTTATTGGAACACCATTCATATTTTACCGCATATATGCACGCCATAAACATTACGTTTACGCCAGGTTTCTGCTACTTTTTCTCTCGTCGTCTTCTTCGTTGCTGTTGTCTTCATCGTGTTTTCTTCGGTCTTCTCTTTTCGTGCGTTTCGCCCGCGGTTTCTCAACTCATAGCTCGATACACTCGACGTCTTCTTCGTAGCACGTTCTTTGTTGTAATTAGTGCTGGTGATATGCGAGTGCGTGTATGCTATAAGTTGTTGGAACGAACCAACTCAGAAAATGGATAAAACATAAATTGCGCTGCAACAAAATATGACCGAATACGCAGCGGAAGAAGCAAAATTCTTTGTATTTTTCTTAATTAGAAAATTGCAAGTAAAAGCATCATAATATTGGGAGTGGTGCGTGTGTCATCCTATAAATCGATTTGCATTCAAAGAAATTTCGATGTTGGACAACTTGCGGTTCAAGTGGTAGATGTTTCATTGCGAAAACTGGAATTTCTTATATCGAAACTTGTATATCATTTTATTCATCATTTCAAATGCGAACCGTTTTCATGAGTGGATTTTTCTACGCATCTGTTTCGGTGATTGTCATTAAGATTGAAGAGATATGTTTGACAATGTTAAAAAATAAAATGAAATAAAAATTGTTTACGTGTATTTCGATGACTCTCTCGTTCACATACGTGATAGTGTGCCAATGCGGTGTAAATTTTAACCCGTTATAGAAACGCCATTCTTTCGCATTGTTTTCTCTTCTCTTTCGTTGTACCTGAATATTTTGGTGTGTGCGCTACGGTGCGCGCGCTCTTGTGTGCTCGCCCCAATGCAACCTTTCACACATTTCACCGGCGCGCTCGGCATAGGCAGCAAGTGAGTCCTCAATTGGTCAGCCGAATCAGTTCGCTACTGATGTTCGACGCTTGATGTGCTCCAGCTTTTTGAGAGAATCATTCGAAATTTTTGTGATATCGATTTCGGTTAAGTTTTTGTACGTTGTTGTGAACAAAACCCGCTTGTCTGTGTGAATTCAGCAGTTAATCAAGCATGATCTTAGTGCAAAAAGAAGACGTAGGGAAACAAATATTCTAATGTTATTGCGGGGAATAAAGTGAAACTGATCATGTGAGTGAATTTAAATAATGTGGCTCGAGCGAACGGAATAAACTTCAGAATTATAATATGTTCATATTTTTTGTTTGCGTCTTCGTGATTGTTTTTTTTCTTTCTTCTTCTTATTCATCTTTCTCTTTGCAACGCAAGCACTTTAATGGAATAAATTAAATCTCAGTGCGGCGAACAGAAAATATAATAGAAAGAGAAAAAAAATAATACTGGTTTTTGTGATTTGAAATGTCAGTCTGAATTTAATGAAAGCATTGATACATTTGTTCAGCCCATTTGTGCGATTCTCGTGGTCATGCTCATTTAATCAATAAGCGTGCGAAACCATTTTTTTGCCTTCTCTTCATCTCTGTTTTTTGCTATTTCATTTCAATCGTCTTGGCATTTGTTTGGTGAAATCAATGCTAGTGAGTTCCGTGCTGGAGTTTCAGCAGAAACGCATGAAGCAATTGTCGGAATCTAAAATACATGTTTTCTTGTTAGTGTTGTTGAGCAAAATATGATTTTGTGACTAAATGTGCGTGCGGATGTTTCTGTCGTTTTCAATTTATATTCCATCGATTAAGAATTGCAGAGAAGAAGAAAAAGAAAAAACACACACACCAAAACAAAAACACGCATCTCCAGCCTGAATTCTTAACAAATTGCAAGCAGCTAATTTTCCATTAATATTTAATTGTTGATCGCGAGCAGAATGAGTTATTATTAGCAACTGCCTTCTTCATGCCATTGAACTTGTAATTGAGTGAGCATCGTGGATGTGATGATGATGAAAAAAAAAGTTTCTAATTTCCGAGTAGTTTGAATCATTTAAGCGCTTGGAAAGCGGCTGAGACTTTTCCGCTGCGTTGTGGGTGTTATACACCGATTGAAAGTAGATTTATTAAACACACTGCTGAATGATTTCGCTTCATTGATGCAAGTAATCTAGCTCGCTGTCGCTGAACCTATGCGAAAGCCGCCACCGCACCAACACATACACACATTTTTACAACGAAATGAAATCGACTTCGAGCGAAATACGAGAGCTGCAAACAATGGCTCATTTTCAGCCGTTAAATATTGTTTGTTTTATTTTTCGCTGATTTCAATTACTTCTGGTTCAATTTATTTTCTTTCCCATCGAATTGAACTTAAGACAAACAATGTGCACTGTATGTATGGTGTGGCGGTGAAATGAACCATTTTGCCACATATTATCAATTTTATCTCGTTCAAATAAATACCGTCGATGCCAATGCCATTGATATCTATCTCCATATGTCCGTTGTCTAGTTTGCATAAGCGTATTCAATTTCAACCAGTCTACATAGCGGTTATAACTGTTTCCAAATTCAAATTGATTTAAATTCGTTATCACATCGAACCATCGAACAAGATGGAAAAAGACAAAGATGCACGTTTTTGGTTGAACGAAAGAAAATAAGATCGATTTCTAGTCGATCATACAACCGTTGTCCGAACTGTATTCCATGTGACAGCGTCTTAATGTTTCATTATGCCATTTCCTCTTGAAGTGACACACTTTTCTCTCTCTCTCTCTCTCTCTCTCTCTCTCTTTATCTCGTCAATTTGGTTACTTTCTGAATCACATAAATTCTAATGCGCGATCATAGCAAACCATTTCCTAACTTTTATCGCTAGATTCCGACGCGCATGGAAATCGAATACAATGAAAATAGTAGATTTGTTTGTATTTGTTTACCAAGTGGTCTTGATTAGTTGTGAATTAAATAATGAAAGATGGGAATGAATAATTCACGACTGTGGAAAGAGACACACAAACACAAAATGACCATTGACTATTTGAAGATTGAGGTCCATCAATGAATGAATGTGTGAGAGAGACGTCCAAAGCAATCAATCATTAGCTTCGAGTCATAAAACTTTTTTTTTTCACTAAAATAAAATTATAAATTTGTTATTTCATTCTTCTTTATTTGCAGTTCGAGCAGAGGTTAAACTCAACTCCGACGGATTTTGTTCTTCGTACCCTCTCTCTTGCCGAGACTTGAGTTTCCTAAGAATTAGACGATACCTTCAACAATATACATCAAAATGGTTTGCCGCTCGCGATATTTCATCGCGTCCATATTCATCACATTATGTGTTTTAAAGGTAAGTACCGATAATAATCAAATGAGTTTCGTAAGTTCCTTAATTTGCAACGCATCCGTTCCACCCAAAATCGCAATTCGACACAAACAAACGTCGACACAAGCAAAAGGGAAGTACACATGGCACGATGAAAAAGGAAGAACACAAATGACCAACAAAATGTTAAAAAATAAACAGCAAATGTCGTTCGTGCATTGAGCAGTAAGAATTTTACCGTTATCCGAAACCTGAATAGTGAAAGTTATTGTGGTGAACAGCTACAAGGAAAATCATTCAAGCAACCGCCAGTGCCGACAACAGCAACAAACACACACACACACTGCATAACAATTTATGCATTGCCGAATGGTTCTTTTGAATGCGTGCACGGTGGTCGTCTCTATCACATGCTCAGTTGCCTTCACAAAAAACATCGTGTCGCTGTTACGATTCTTTTTCGACAAAATTTACTCTTTATTTTTGGGTCACACCATACTCAACACAAAAGAAAGCGATCATTACGAAAATGCTCATTTCGGTACACACGGTTCTGCCTGGTGTGTATGTGTGTTTGTGCAGTTTTTTTCCTTCGAAAATGTGAATAAAAGTGAAAATAATAGCGGGAATTCTGGGTGCGCAAAGCCATACAACAAACATTTTATGGCTTTTGAATAATTTTACGCAGGCCTTCTTTTTCAAACCATGCATGATTATTAGCGTCTGATCACCACCGTAATCGGATCACAAACAAGGCAAAGCGAACCAAGGAAAACATAAAAAAATGAGAAAGAAAAAAAGATATGGTTCTTCGGAGAAAAAAACAAGCGTTCAATCGAACCGATTGATATGCGAAAAAACCTTGTGAATAGAAAGAAGCGCTAAAAGTATGCTTAGCCTCCCGATCGAAAAGTGAGTGTCTTCTTTCGTCGAACTCTTCTAGTATGCAAATTAGCGAACTAGCTCTTTGTTTCTTTGTGTGTGAAGTGAATGTTCGAAAAGCGCTTATCTATGTTTTTATTTTTAGTCGCCGAGCACATCAGTTCTGTTTCCATTCTAAGGATTGTGTGAAGGCTAATTGTTTAAACAGAACCGACGCGCTTCTGCAGACAATTGATTCATTGTTTCACTTCAGCCGAAATAGAAAAGCACACTGAACTGTTTAGTCTAGTTTTTTTCCCTCGCCAAAGAAACAAAAAAAAAAACAATCACTTTCGCTAAACGTGGAGAAAATGGTTTTTCGGTGTGGACGCCGTCTTTTTCCCACTCACACTAGCATTTCGAATAGACACTTAATCAGATTTGACCCATAAAATAACCTAACAAATTATACGTGTTACCAACAAGTCATGACAATCATCATGCTTTTGTGCAATTACGTGTGCGAATTTTAAGTACATGACGCCGGCATACAGCGAATGCATGGCAATTTATCAGTTCGTCATTTCATTCGTTTCACCGATATGATCCACAGCAGTTGCTCGCTGCTCACGACGGCCCGATCATGTGGGCACAGTATATGAGTCAGTAGTCTGCCGTTTGCATTATTTTTCATTCTGTTTCACTTTGTTCAGTTAATTTTCGATTTCAAATACAATTCCTATTCATAAGTCACTTAATATCCGGTTTGCATTTCGTCAACTGTCTTTTTTGCATCATGATTTTTGCGTTTGTGTGTGTGTGTGTGTGTGTATGTGCGCGCGCGATCATTTCTGCCACACAATTGGAAAATACAGTTATCATAAGTGAACTAATAATATTATTTGTTCTGTGTGTTTTGTATTCGTGATGGCATATAATTAGGCGAAAGTTGAATGCGGTTAACCACAGTCATTTAGGCTTATGATACATATATAAAATATATTTGCAATTGTCTTTATTTTCTTTCCAGCGGAATGAATATATGTATTTTGTGTGGATTCGAAAACAATTACCCGCTCGGAAAACTACTCCTTTATCGCCTTTACGATAAATTTCACCATAAAAACCGAACTTCATTTTCGAATGTCTCATGCTCATTTTCCCGACGTACACTTATTTCTTTTTTCTTTAGTTTTAACAATTTGATATCGTGATGTGAAATCCAATTTACATGGGCGAATGCATGAAAGAACTTTGCGAGAAAACAAACTAAATCGTGCAATTCGTTTTGTTCGCTGATTCGCGTTCATTTTCATTGTCGATATATATTTTGACATGGAGTTGTTAGCTTCTTGCTCTCTTTATCGAATCGCCCGAACCGAATTTAATTAAAACGGTCAACATATCAAAAATCATTTTTTCCTGATATCTACAACAAAGCAAAAAAAATTCTGCTTGTTGTTATGAAAAGTGTTTACTTTTCCTTTAGCTGAAAGCAGCCGTGTCTGTCTATCCGTTTCTGCCCTGTAATTTATTTGTCGCTTTCCGCGCACCTTCGCTGAGAAAACCAGCTCTCCGAGATGAAAACGTTGCGATCCGTTCTTAATTGATAATGATACGGACGCTGCCATAAAGTGAACTACTTTTTTGCCGTTTCGACGACGATGATGATGATAATGACAACGAGAGATGCCAGTCTAGTGTGCGCAAGAGGTGTTGTGCAGCGCATTTATTTTTCGCCGAGCTTTCTTTTACTCCAGCAAAATACATACATGGTAACTGGAATGTTTTTTTTATCTTCGTTTCGTGTGTGTGTGTGTATACTCAAAAACGCACTGCAATTTCAATGCCAATTGCACGGAGGGAAAAGAAACGCAACATACCGCACTATGTTTGTGCAGATGAGATTCAAAAAGAAACCGGTTCCATAGCATACCAGCGATATTTTAGCTTTGAATGTTGATTTGTCTGTATTTATCATTTCCAGCACAAGAATCACATCATCTACCCGTGATATGTGTAACAAGTGTGCGCTCGGTTTACCTGACGTTGTCTCTAATCGCAATGCAGAAAGTAGGTTTGAAAAAGTCTGCTTTTTTGTTTCTCTCTCTCTCTCTCTCTCTCTCTCTCTCTCTCTGTCTCTCTCTCTCTCTTGCTCTTTTTTTTGTAATTCAAATGACTCGATACTATGCGATGCTAAGCATTTTATCGTCACCTGAAATGTTTCCAGCTGAAAAAGAATTCATTCTATGATGCTGCCGTAAGGTGCAACGAATCCAATTGCTTTTTCCTTTTTCTGATTGCTTGGTTTACTGAAGAAAGAAAAAAAACGTTTTAACGGCATCGACCGTACGAAATTTGCACATCATTTGCATCTCGACCCGAATCGAACATAAATGGCAAGCATTTCACTATTCTTATTGATTTTAAAATTGTCTATTGATTTGAATGAAATGGAAAAACGGTCAAATTGATTTAACGGAAAAAGTAAAACGAATCGAGCAGCTAATTCAATCGTAGCAAAAAAACATAAAATCAAATACCTCTACCATACTGTATCGCATCGAAGAAGGAAAAAAAAAGAAGAAGGAGAAAAAACACATGCCTTTTGTACGTGTGCAGTTTTTTTTCAAGCTTCACTTGATGATATGCGATTTCATGTATTAATCATGGTGGATAAACATGCATCGTTACTAAAACACTGAACACACTAAAAACAAAAACAAATATCCAAGATAATGAAAGAAATGATCGAAACCAACAGCTTTACGGAAAAAAACACACACACACATCGTGTAGCGTGTATGAAGAAAAGAAAAAGCAATCTTCAACAACCTGGATGATAGACTTATAAAAAAAAACTGTGCCAGTAGATCGATCGAGCATGTGTGTGCATACAAGCAAATTACTTTAAGATTTCGCTTGGCTTGTGTAGCGCGAAGACTTGGGCGAACGTATGAACGAACGAACGAACGAATGGAAAAAACGAGGCACGGAGAAAAAAATTATGCGCTCAGAGGAATGTTAGAATATCGTAGCAAAACTCGTATATGGACCAGTCGTGAATTGGTCTATTTTTCTGATGGCACTGAATTCTTTATTGATTCAGCGCTTCAGTTTTAGCATTAATTTATCTTGCTCACTGTGCATTTGCTCCATATATCTGGCTTGCTTGATTGATATATATATATATATCTACGGCTTGGAGGATGGATGATCAATGTGTTTATGGAAATTTGTTTGCTAATGTTTGTTCTCGTTTCATTTTGCACAGAATGTTAACAGTGACGCTCCAATAATTGATTCATCGGCATTACCGCTAGAGCACAGATCTGTGTATGGTCCACCAGCGCTTCAATCACCAATTTATGGAGCACCACCTCAAATACCGGAGCATCAAGTAGCACAAAACGAAGTGCCCGACGAACAATGGCCACTCGGTGCACAGTCCAACGACAGTCCACAGATTAAAAATTTGCAAGTGCAATGCGAAAAAACGCACATGCGTGTCAATATCGAATTCGATCGGCCCTTCTACGGTATGATCTTTTCGAAGGGATACTACAGCGACGGTCATTGTGTTCACATGAAACCGGGCAGCGGACATTTGAGCGCAACTTTTGAAATCTTTTTGAACAGTTGCGGTATGAGCAGTTCAGCCAATCACAATGCTCAACAATTCGGTGCACCAACCCCATCGGGTAGCTACGTTGAAAACACCATTATCATTCAATACGATCCATACGTACAAGAAGTTTGGGATCAGGTGAGTTTCATCGCATTTTATCTTCGCACTTTCTTAGAATGGTACATTCAATTTGCCACGAACCATTAAACACAATTCTATTTGATAAACTGTAATTTTGTATGATGATTATTGATTAATGTAATGTAATATCGTTCATTGCTTGTTCGCTAAATATAGGCACGTAAATTGCGGTGTACCTGGTACGATTTCTATGAGAAACAAGTGGCTTTTCGACCATTCCAAGTCGATATGATGCACGCTGTCACGGCCAATTTCTTGGGCGATAACCTGCAATGCTGGATGCAAATTCAAGTTGGCAAAGGTCCATGGGCTTCCGAGGTGTGTTTGTGATTGATTTTACTCGGATAATTTTAATAAAACAACATTCATCTTTCTATCATTATACAGGTTTCTGGAATAGTGAAGATCGGTCAAACAATGACAATGGTTTTGGCTATTAAAGACGATGAAAACAAATTCGATATGCTGGTACGAAACTGTGTTGCTCACGATGGTAAACGTGCTCCAATCCAATTGGTCGATCAAAATGGTTGCGTCACCCGGCCAAAGATCATGAGCAAATTCCAAAAGATCAAAAACTTTGGACCATCCGCATCGGTTGTGTCATTTGCATACTTCCAAGCCTTCAAATTCCCAGACTCGATGAATGTGCACTTCCAATGTGTAATCCAAGTGTGCCGATACAACTGTCCCGAGCCAAAATGCGCTCCATCGATCGGCGGTGAATTCGGATTGGCTGGCTTGAGCTCCGAATACGGTTTACCATCATCCGAATATGGATTGCCACCAGCCGCATACCCAGATCCAAGACATCCAGCTGATGCTTCAGGTAAAAATATTTCAAATCATTAGCGCATTTGGATCTTGTTTGAGAAATACTAATGTGGTTCTTTTATTCATTTTCACTAAATAGGCGCTTACTCAGAGAACCAACAAGACGTAGTACCACCACCACAAGCACAATCAACCTCTGAAAATATCAACAAAATCGATACACCGCCAGCCCAAAGCAAACGAGACGAAGTCCATTTACCACCTCCACCTCCACCAGGCCACTCGGGCTCATACAGCACTGTTAAACGAAAGGACGACCTAGACGCTGAGGCTAACGGTAATTTGGCTACAATTGGCGGACGACCACGATCAGTTGAAGGATTGGATGATTTGCGCGGTGCACGAAGACGTCGTGAAACAATGGAAATCACTGTTAAGCCCAGAGTATACAAACGTGCTGCACAAGAAATGACCGATGTCAATACTAGTCGTGTGATTCAAGTGGTCGCTCCGGGCGACGTTAACTTTGCTCTGAACAACAACAATGCAGCTAGCAACGATACGGTTGTGGTGCAAGCGCGAACAGTGGACGCTGAAACGATATGTATGTCAGTGCCAAGTTTCGTTGGCGGTTTAGTTATGTTACTTTTAGTATTAGCAATTGCTTCATTAGTAGCCGCATTTTTGTTTGTGCGCGTACGGCATTTCGACCGAAAAGGTGTTACAATCCCACGACATGGATTCATCAATGAATTCATGAAAGTCAATTAAATTACTAAAAACCGAACAGAAAACAAGTGAAAAAAAAGTTAGGACAATTTTTGAACGATTCGATTGACAAAGAGGATGCAGATAATCGGAATAAAAGGATAAAATGATTAAAATGAACGGAATCTACTAAGTGACCCTGAAAATGTGTTTGAAACACTCGCTATGACACTGCTTCAGCGTTACCTCATCCAAAAAAAAAACGAAAACTTTATTCTTGGTCTGTCAATTCAATACAGATCAATATGCATAACTTCATAATTCTATTTTCTAAGTGATCTTATGATTAGTTATTTATTCTTACCAAACGAAAACTTCACATTTTCATTCAATTATTTTCGCAAAAGCAGTTGATTCCATCCCTTTGGAAAACAGCTACAGTTCGGAAAATAGTTGCAATGAATTTGGTTGAAGGCACGCTTTTAGCCGGGCACCGGGCAAAATGAACTATGCGCTTCATCACGTTCATGAAGACAACTCCTTCAGTTGAATGTAAATTCGATTGAAATTGTTTCCATGTTCAAAATGAATGGTAGAGAAATGTTGCCCATTTCCGGTGTAACCCAATCACCATTTCGTTCATTCTAACTGAACATCACACAATTTCCACTTTGCTATTCTCTTTAATTCTCTTTCTACCCTCTGCATATCTCTATCGATTCTGTCCAATTTTATTTATTTATTTACAACTCTATTTATTATTTCTATTTATTTCTTCTCTAAAGACTATCTTTTCTTTAAATAAAAAAAAACAGAACAAAAAATTGAAAAACGACCGTTCCAAAGTAAGTTTTGAGTAAAAACAAACCGCTCGTGGGTGTACACGCGCGCACAACAGCAAACAAACGGAAATGCGATCACTTTTGCAAAAAGAAAAAAAAACTAGAGCAAATGTAGCTTTTGTACTAATGCAAACTACGGCCTGAATCAAAGAAGTGGTTAAGTTATTAAGTAATAAACGACACAAACATAAATGCAATAAATATCAGAGAGTCTGTCCAAAATCAATTAGAATGACATTTTATTGGCTAGAAAAGTGTATCAGTTAGATAAGTTTGATTGAAGAACAACAACAAAATCGCCTTGAAATCAAAATTTTGTTACTTTTTGTTTTAGTTTACAATTCTTTATTGTATTACTTAATTAAATCGAATGCTTCGTAATTGTTTTTTTTTGTCTATGTGCCGCACAATTGCTTTCAAATACACTTTTCTAACATGTCAATAAGATTATTTTATCAATCAATATGAAGAGGAAAAAAAGTGGTCGAAAAAAAAAAACTCTGAAGCCACGAGATAGTAATTTCGATTTAAAGAAAACTTAAAGATAAAAAGAAACGCGAATGCAACACACAATTCCAACATTAAAATCTTCTTCCAGCAAATGAGCTGATTTTAAAAGCACTCACCTTTCAAGTCACTCAGTTGTAAGGTCAATAAAAGGAAGAAAATTGAAAGACAGAGAACAGTTTTACTTAATGAGAGCGCCTATCTCCATTTATCAAGTGAAGAGAAAAAAAAAACGAATGAAATATGTAAATATATCGACGAAACAAAACAATTAAATAAAAACTAAAAAAAAAACATTTATTGATTCGATGTAATGTTAACGTTAAATTTATTATTAAAAATAGAAAGTATAAAAATAAAGAAAAATCACACATTGATAAAACCAAAAACGATTGCATTTTATTTTATTCTTTTGTTGACAGCCATTAAAATCCTTGCCTCAGACAATGTTCTCTTCGAAAAATAAAAATGCACCTCTGCATATGAGTGAAAACACACCTGTTTTGTTTAGTTTCAGATCAATTTGTTTTTTTTTTTTATTTTATGTTTCTTTATATAAATGGTAAATTTTCTTCCGAATGTTATCACAAAATGAATTGAACAAAATTGTATAAAAAATATCAAAAAAAAAGTATAAAGGGATTTAAATCCAGTTTTTTCTTTCTGTACATGAAACCATCATTTAAAACGTCCTCTGTTTTTACTCCTCTTTCTACCGTACGCTTACAATGAATTTCAATAGATTAGAATTGGACAACACATTCTGTCGTATTAAATACAATGCGTGTCGATAACATATATATAAACTAAGTCTAACTCAATCCATTCCACCATTGCGAGTGAGAGATCGAATGAGTTGTGTTTGATTTGATTTTGTTTTCTTGATTTGGGATAAGGTACTGGTTAGTCCATCGACGAGATTAGATTTGTGCGTGTTTTGGTGGGTTATGAAATTAGAAACGATACATTTCGATCGCCTAGGTTCATTACTCTCTAGAATTAATTCTTCTGAAGTTTCCTGATTCAATGGGTTTTTTTTCTTTTTAAATTTTCAGTTTTATTTGTTTGTTTTGCGTATCAGTCTGAATCGTCCGAGCATTCGAACAATTTCTTTCGTTTGAGTGGTGACACTCCGTTTACAATTGAACTACCGTGATGACTGTCACTATCGTCGAACCTATTGAATAAAGTCGCCAATTTAATATCAAAGTTCAACATTGCACAAATATCTAGAAAATACTTACACCAAACTAGTTCGAGAGATTTCTCCGATGATGCGGCTTCGTCGAAAACTGCCCTGGGAATTGTAATGATTTAATGGTGTTGAATTAACAATAAGTGATTCGGGCGGCTTTCCATGTGATCTGTTGATGCTTCGATTACTTGGAGATTCTTCGAAATCAATCTCCGAATCGTCTAATCGTAAGAAAGAGTCGTCGGACGTGGGTTGAATGGCAATTGTTGGTGCGGTTGGTGTTGATGTCAGCGCAATGTTATGCGGCTGGTTCGGTCTTTTGAGATGCTTCAGTTTGAAAAAGGAGAACAGCGACACAAAGAAATTCACTATGTACATCTTCAGTGCATGCAATCGGCCCATTAAATTCCGTGAAATTTTTTTCTGAAATGATGGAATCACTCGAAATGAGAATTGAATTTTGCGATTGATCAAACGTAAATACTCACGACTCTGACAAAGGGTTTCATCCAGCGACGACGATGCAGAATTTTCTTAATTTGCGGTACCGCCAACAATGCGTCAACGTTTGGTCTTTGTTCTGGTCTCGGGTGCATCATAGATTTGATGACATTTTGTAGATCAGGAGATAAATCTATTTGAAAGAAACGAACAAAATTGTTGAAAAAAGGTTCGAGTAAATCATTTTTTAAAACCGAAAAATCGGCAGAAAAATTCCAAATTTCATTCAAATTTCAGAATATAGTGAAAGTGACATAAAAAGGCTTACGTGGTAGAAAATGGTCAGGCAAAATTCCGCTTCGCAATGTGTGCCATAAGTAACCATTTTTCGGCAGTTCTAATTTGGAGGCGAGCTCAAGGATTGTAATGCCGAGACTAAAGATATCCGCTGCTTTTGTAAAACTATGTTGAAGTGTTTCGGGTGCAATGTATCTGCAATCACCTTCCGATGAATTTCCCAAATTTGGCTAAAATTACAAACGGAAACATTTCTCAATGTTATGAAACTGGATGGATTGACCCAAAGAAAAGAAAACAATTGTAACTCACCCCACGTAGGTCAGCAACTAAGCCAAAGTCACCAAGTTTGCATACATTATCTTCGCTAATCATAATATTTTCCAGTTTGATATCCAAATGAATGAGATTTTGATCGTGCAGAGCCTTCAAGGCCAACAACAAATCCACCAGAATGTTCCACACTTCTTTTTCGCTGAGCAAACCATTTGTTTGCATAACGTACGTTTCCAAATTGCATTTACACAGTTCCAGCTGCATATACAATAGATCGTTTTGTTCCCAGGCTTTGTGCAGTGTGATACAGTTATCGTGCTCACTGAATTGTTCGTATCGCCGAACCTCTTCGATGCGTTCTTGTCGCGAAGTTTCACCGCGAAACAATTGAAGTGACTTTTTTACCGCATACAATTGGCCATCTTCTTTGCTACGCACTTTGAACACTTCACCAAACGAACCGACACCAAGACGATCGATCACCTCAAAACATTGCTCAAAATATGACTCCCGTAAATTTGATCGATACACGGAACTTGTCAACGACAACGAATCACTAGATAGCGAATTGTTGGCGGTGTTATTTTGTCGGAATGAAATTGCATGTGGTGCGGAATGATTTAAACTGCGATTGTAAATTGAGTCATTTTGCTTTTGGTTGAGTTTTGGTGGTCGTTTCCGTGATCGCAATCCGTCATTTTGTGTTCTCTGTTGACAATTTGGTGTGAAAAAAAAAAACGTTAAGATAAAATTTCGAATATTTGATGTTCTTTCTTGGACTTACCTGCTTAAATGCTCTTTGATCCCCGTACTCTAGCTCAGGTAGCGGCAGTAAATTTTTCGTTGACATCCTTCTATCGTTCGACGTTGTTTGTGTGTGTGTGTGTGTGTGGATTTGTGTGTATTTGATAAAAAAATATTTACAGAAACGTTTTTTAAAACTTGTTTGTTTAATTCTATCTAATCATAAGTATTATCATGATTTGAGGTTATGTTTTCGGTTATTGCCTACGACTCTCACTCTCTCTCTCTCTCCCTTTACGATATATTTGTTCTTTTCGGATGTTTTCTTTTTAGAAATTTGGTTCACATTCTAAGTATATTTTGGCAAAGTCAAACTTTAAATGTTCTTTATGTTTCCGCGTGAATAAATTTTGATTTAGCTCGAGCAATTATTTAAATGCAAAATTACTGTCGCAACAATTGCAGACATTATAAACTAATGGAAAAAACAATAAATAACAAAGCGATGAACGCAGTGTAGCTGCAGTTGTACAACTGTTTTCCTTTCTTTTGATTTGAAAATGTCAGTCGCGTCACTTTCACATCTACTGTTTGAATGTAATGACGTTTTAACGATAATTTTCAAGTTCGTTCGTGTTAAATATGCGTCGCAAATTCGTGTATGTGTGTTTTGTATGTTGTCGGCCCTGACAGTTGCTTAAGTACCAGCCAACTGTCAGCTGTACCGTTGCGTTGAGTACTTTCGGTCAGGCTGTCACATTGCATTTCATACACGAAATGCGAAAAACCATTTGGAAATAAAGACGGATATCAAAAAGAAAATAACGATTTAAGCTGGAAACGGCAAGATGAGCCTAAGATGTTGTAGTTCGTTTCTGGCCAGGCTTAAGAATTTGCCGCAAATTAGAAAGTGTTATTATGGTTCACAGCACATTTTGCACAATAAACTACAGCAAAATATCACTTCAAATTCATTCATTTATAGGCATTTCTGCAATCCTGCGTCAAAAGGTGAGGTTAGAATTAGTTATGTTTTTTTTTGCATATTTATCGTGTATTTTTAATGCGATTGCAATGAACCTTCGTTTGAAATGACAACTCTTTCCGATTATGTAAATTGGTTTTCACACAGATTTGGAAAATGGAACGAAGAAACCAACACAAATTCTTTCAACGTTGTTTCCACAAACATCGCCCGCAGTAGATGCCGAGCAAGAAGCTCAGGAGCAAAAGAAAAAACAGGAACAAGATGAGAAGAAAGAGCAAGAGAAATCGTGGAAACGAATGAAATTGGGGTAATTCAAAAAGTGTTTAAATTCATTTTGAACATGATGTTAACATATGTTTTGTTGTTGTTTTCAGTTTTTATGTATTCGGTGTGTCTACAATAGTCGCAGCGGGATGGGTAGTCGTGGATTTGGGTGCACCAGAGCGCGATGCTGACGGTCAAATTATTGAAGATGAATTCAGTATTTTACCGCTGCCAAAACAGTACTTGAAACGCATGTGGAAATCCTTAACTTATTACCAGAAAATCATTCAAGAGCCATCACGTGAAAAACTATTGCCAGATCCACTGAAACCACCCTATTATCAGCCAAAATACACACTTGTCCTTGAAATGAAAGATGTACTCGTGCACCCAGACTGGACCTACAAAACTGGTTGGCGATTCAAAAAGCGACCAGGTGTCGATGCTTTCCTCGAACAATTGGCCGGAGACTATGAGATTGTTGTTTATACAGCAGATCAAGGCATGACTGTTTTTCCCATTTTAGACGCGCTCGATCCAAAGGGTTACATTATGTATAGGCTCGTGAGAGATGCCACACATTTTGTTGATGGGCATCATGTCAAAAATTTAGACAATCTTAATCGTGATTTACGAAAAGTTATTGTTATCGATTGGGATCCGAACGCAACAAAACTTCACCCAGAAAATACGTTCCATGTGGATCGATGGACTGGCAACGATGATGACCTTACACTATTGGATCTAGTTTCATTTTTAAAGAGTAAGTGTTATCAACGTCACAATCGACGAAACTTTTGAAAAGTCTAATTTCATGCTTTTATTCTTGTTCATTTCACAGCCGTGTCAAGTGCCGATGTCGATGATGTTCGTGATGTTCTTCAATATTATAAACAATTCAATAGTCCATTAGCTAAATTCAAAGAGAATCAACAAATTCTACTGCATCAAATGCAAGAGAAAGCGTTGGAAGAGAAAAATGCACCACCGTCAGCAGTAAAGCGTTGGACACCCAGTTTTCTTAGTCGTAAATAAGAAGCAAGATCGCCTAATACGCAATTGAATTGTACAAAAATAAAACAAACACGAAAATCTTTCTCAAATAACAATAAACCATAAATTAGACATTTCTTTCAGTTGACTTCTTTTTGCTGCGCAAACAGTTATCACCTTAGCTCATAATAGACATTTTTTGTTAGTCATTGAATAAAAAAAGTGAATATTGTTTTTAAGCCGCAATCAACAATTTCGTCTAAGAATCAAAGACCATAAAATGCATAATAAAACTCGGAATATTTAATTTTTTTCACACATTTTTTTTGTTCAATTTTTTTTAATCGGTTTTCAGATTTTTCTATTGCTATATCAATACAGAGTTATTAAAATTTGTTTCATCAAATCTACAATGTATTTAAACTTCACGGTTCACATCACAAATCCAATAAAAAAAACCAAAAAGCCAAAAATATGATGGAAGCAAACTCACTTCATTGATATAAATTTCAACAGCAAATAATTTTGTGAATTCAAAACGAAACATTTCTCTTTATTTAGCTTGAAATTGTGAAAACATCGATAGTGTCAAAGTTTTGGTTTGGGAAGTGTCAGATCAAGTGATCCGATCATATAAGGATTTTGGTGATATTGAACACATTTTGCCGATTGCTTTTTATCTTTTTGTAAATTGATGTCAAAGGGACTTTACTCTATCTCCAACATGTATAAAATTGTTTTTTTTTCTGTTCACGGTGTGAAATTACAACATATTTCAACTTTTTTTGTCCTTTTTATTTGCTCCTGAGTGTTTTTTAATTTTTTTTTTTAGATTAGCAGTTTTGTTCTTCATATTTACATTTTCAATAAATTTACAAATTTTTCTCTGAGATGGAGTAGTGCGTGAACAAACGACTTGAAATGTCCCAAAATGTGGTGTATTCCTCAGATAGCTTTTCATTATCAGCAAAATAATCTCGATTTCCATGTAGGCATGTTCCCAATTCTGAAGTAAAAACAGAAATATAGTACATAGATAGCAATACGCGACTTATAGACTCCAATCAATGCAAGTGTATGTGGTTTGCCATTCACATAAAGATATACATCAAGACTCGTTTCTAATGTAAACAGATTCCTCTTCTTTGCTAATTAATTAAAATGGGATCATTTTAAATAAATGTTATACGTATATATAGTCTAAACGAAAGATGGACTAAAAATCACTAATAAGTAGCTGAATTTAAATTAATTGTTTAAAATATTCTTAGCTCAACGGATTGTGTTGATCGAGTTGTATTAATCGTCATGTTGATGATCGTAGACTTTGACCATATCACGTTTGCGTTCATTTCTATTATTATTCAATTTGCCTTGGTCTTTGTCTTGGTGGTATTTCTTGGTATATTTGCGATCATTTTTTCGTTTCTTCTCTTTATCACTGTTCTTTTCCTTATAGATTTTCTTATCACGGCGTTCTTTTCGCTCATTACGATCGACATGTTCTTTGGATGAGAATTCATCGAATTTATCTACTATAATCAAACTGTGATCGAAGTTTTGAGTTTTATCCGATTTCCCGTTGGTTTTTTCCAATTTCTTATGGTCTCTACGGCCTTTTGCATGATTACCTTTCGTTTTGGTACGAAAGCTGTCATCAACTGGTGGCTGAATTAATATTGGTTCATCGACAATGTCTTGAAGAATTGGCTTGATCTCATCGACACCCTGTCTGTACTCAACAATAAACGATTGTCCATCATCCTCGGTTGAGGTGAGTTTCGGTTCGCCACGGGCACGATTCTTTCGATTTTCACAATATTCACGATTATATTCGGAAAAGAGGCTATTCGCGTCATCACATTCAGATAGAAAATGTTCTTTGGATTTGAATGGTTGTTTTGTTGCTAGTACTTCGTCTCCGGCACCAGTCCAAACGGTTTTACCATAATCCATTGGTGCATCTTCGTTGATTTCGTCCACATATTCGTCCGATAATCTAGTGGGTTGAATCACACAATCACAACTTGGTCCATTCAATTGACAATTTGCTTCACTATGCACTGCAGGCATATTATTATCAATACTGTCTCGTTCCGGTTTAAATTCAACGTTGCTGTTTGTTGATTTTCCTAATTCCATTTCGTAGAGATATTCGCATCGGGCCAAATTCCCTTCAATTTGATACTTGTCCATCTTTGCACTGTACAATTTTTGCTCCAGATCTTTGACTTCAAGCTTGCAAGCCGAATACCGTGAGTAGATAATGGCTAAAATTGCCACCGAACCAGCGGTTAAGAAGAGTAAAAGCACTTGCAATAGATAGATGCTGGACAAAAAGTTGTTGAGTCGCTCCAAATATTGTAGAATATCTTCGACGATATTCTGCTGCGGTAATCCAAGCTCTTCAACCGATGTCGGTTGCTGACATCGGTTCATCGCACGTGGTCTTGCTTCAAACGGCCGTTTTGCACAGATGGTCATATCGATTGGACTGCATCGCATCCACATTTGCAATGGCTGCGGCGATGGTGTATTTATAGATAAATCATCTGCTTCGAAACGGCCTTGATTGATCTCATGGTCACCAAGTATTGAGATGCTGCCGTCCGTTGTAGAATCATCATTCACATCATCGTATGTGTTGCCCTTTTCAAGAACACTATTGGAAATAAAGAAGAAGAAAAATGCAATCCGTTTGTTACTATTTTATTTATCAACAAATATAAAAACAGTCTGCTATCAGCTTAAAAATTGAAATCCTAGCATTTTCCCTTCGAAATTTCTGTTTATTCTGAATTCATTGTCATTGCAAATGTGTACTTTGTTTATGCCTTACAGAGAGAGTTTATGTTTCCACTTCCTCTTTTTTTCCAATAATAATCGCCGATAACACGATTCGATTTTTGTGGTCGTTTCAAATCACTTGTGACAGACCACACTAGTTCGGTATTGCGACAACAGTTATTCATTGCCTCATCAATTTGTTCGCATGATTTCAAATAAAAACGCCTGATAAATGATTTAATCGCAAGCTTGACCAATCAAACATTTGCGTAAGCAAATAAAAAAAAAGGGAAACAAAATATCGACGCGCTTCTGTTTCAAAATGATCATATTCAGCATATTTTGCTATCGATACATATTCAAATTTCGATTCGGTTTCGTCAAACTTACACTATAGGCGAAAATCAACGTCACTTTACATTGTACTAAGTGAAAATCAATGGCTCATCGCGCTCTAAGCAGCACCGAAATAACCTTGAACTATTTTAAAAGTAATAAAATCGTGTAATTGCTATCATCATCATCATCGCCATTAAACGGCATCGCACAATTTCAATCAACACTCAATTCAATTCAATTGATTTTATTTTTGTACGTGCGATTTAAATCGCTCTCTCTATGCGAGAAGTGCCTTCGATGATAACCGTACACTCAACTTTACGTGTAGTCGAAAAGTGAAAAATGAATAAATAGAATGAAGAAAGGCAAACAGAAGCTATTAGATTGCAATTAATTGCAATGAATTATTAAGATGTTTCACATGTCTTGGGTCGTCTTACAATGCAATGCGATTGAGATGCGATGCAAATTCCCTTGTATTACTCGACGAAAGCAACAAAAAAAAACAACAGACCTACAACAGACACATCAACCCATTCAAAGTGACTGTAAATTGTAGATATCAAATGCATCAAATCTATGCCATTGTGCATGTGCATGTGCGATGTTGTGATTCTTATTCAAATATTTGAAATTTAAATTCTGTATTGTTTTCACCAACAGAGAGAGAGAGAGAGAGAGAGTGCACAACTTCGTTTCGTTTCAGTTCATTCCGTTCAGTTCAGCGTTGGTTTTTCCATCTCACAAAACATTAGTCAGAGAGACAAGAGAGTCGGCAAATGCCTAATTAAACAGAATCTTTGTACCGCGCCACTGAAGTTACGAACACTTTTATCTGTCGGTAACGGGCAAGGAGCAGCAGTGTCTCGTGTAAATTTATCTCACTAGATGTTTGTTCAACCAAATGTGGCGTGCATGAAACGTGATGTGCTTTTATCTTCGCACGTATATTTACAAGTGAATTTATTGGGTTTTAAAAATTGAAATGTTTGTTTTAGAATGAACATTTATTTTAAGCTAGGCACTTAACACTGCTCATGACTGACTGTAACGAGCAATAAATTGTATGAATTTAGCGAAAGAGTCTATTATATGGGCGGATTTAAGTAAAATGTTTGTATTAATCTGTGGTCTAACCTGCGTAAATGTGCAGTACCGTCGTCGACATCCTCCTCTTCATCTTCGTCATTCGATTGAAATGCTTCCGATGAGATCGGCTCCAAGTTTGATGCATCATCCACAATCTCTTCCGTCACGATTGTGGGAATTTCCTCTTCAGCCACTTCAACGTGATTCGACTGGGTTAACGTTTCAGTTGAAGTGGTTTGGTCAGCTGAATCGTCAGCAATTTTACTTTCTCTTTCCGCTGGCGTCGTGTTGAACTCTTCGTTCATCGCTTCATCCATTTCGTCGAGCAAAATCCACGATTCTTCGCTTCCATCGGACGATATGGGATCGGCAACGATTCCGTTTTTCTCGGCCATTTCAAATGACAGCTCCGATTGTCTTTGTAATAATCACGGATATCAATTCTGAAAATAGAAATAAAATATTGAAATGTTGGAATTTTTTCTATTTGAAACGAGTTCGGAATACATTGCTCTTTATATCGTTTGCGTCAGGTGAGTTTGCAATAAAAATGAAAAAATTTGGCTGCAGTCGCACCAACTTCGTTGAATAATTTCATGAAACTGAGGCAAACCAACACGAAAATTGCGCAAAAACCAACTCGAGTCCGAATGACGACGTTGTTATGAATGAGTGAAATACAGTAGCAATTTTCGGCTGTGGAGTGTGAAAAACATTCTTGCGTTGTATGTTCGCCATGACTCGATGTGTCTGAAATTTTTATAAATTTCATTCGAACGTGAACGATGCGCACCGTTTAAAATTACGGCGAAATAGTAGAAACAATAATGGACAGTTGCGATGAGACACATGCATTTTCTAGAAATCACAAACCACTCACAACAACAAACGGTCAACGAAATGAAAAACAAATTGAAATTATTTTGTACAAAATGAAAATTTCAGCAAACACACATACAATGACAAGTCGTGTGGCGTCGCTTTTTTGCGATTCTCTTTTTTTTCATGGCATAAAATTTACGATAATCGTCGATAAATGATGATTCTTTGTTTGTCACATTTTCCCAATTATTTGTCTAGTGTGTGTGTGTGTGTTGTTATTTTGATGGGCAGCACGCTACGTGCCGCCATTTGCCCACAGTATTTGTTTACACTTCGCTGTTTTTGCTGCCTAGATTTTCGTTTCATGAATGAAAATTCTTCGGGAAAAACATGTAGATCATACGATCTCAGAGTCACACGTCTCAGCGCGTTGTAAATGACGTGATTAGGCATCTTTTTTGTTCAACCCGATCAAAAAAATGAAAGGCGTTGGGCAAGAAAAAAAATGAAAATAATATTAGCAACAGAAAAAGATGGTTTTATTGCGCATTTGGATTTGATACGAAAATAAAGTCATTGGGAGACACTGATGGGTCGATCGGATGATGAACGCTGATAGTCATGCTATGAACAATACAATATTTCTATCATCATCAGTCGATTTTATCGATTTGCAAGTCTGAAAATTAACGGTTTCACATGGAATACGCTTGAACGTAGCCAACTTAGCACTTGAACCGAGAAGCGACACAAAAGTCGCCGGAATGAATGTGCGACGCAGGGAAAACAAGAAAACAAAACACATGACTGCAAAATTCAGATGTTCGTTCGAGCAAGCGAAAACACACCTAGATATACGTATGTGTTATTTTTTTCTCTTCTTTTTTTTGGCGAAAAAAAATAAAACATCGTCGCACACACTCACACTGCATTTTGGATGGTTGCCTAGTTTGATTAATATTATTTTTGAAATAGATAGCCAAACATAAGTTCGCTTATTTTTGAATTTCGTGATTTATCGATTGTGTTGGTTACTTGGCCCAAGACACTCATCACACATCGGGCGCTTATGGTGAAATATAGCCGTCAGCGTTCACTTTATTTCGTCCAAAAAGTTAATCATCGCTAAATTTACGACACACACACACAACTGAGAAAGATAGAAGCGGAGAGTGAGAGAGAGGGAGTTGAGAACATTATGAATATTTCCCAAGACGTTCGACGAATAACATGTGAACACGAACATTTCAGGCGCAAAATGCACTCAAATAGAGGCAATAAAATATTTTTTCGGTATGGTTACCGTCCAAGCCATTTATAAAATTGGAAACCCGTTTGTCATTTTGCATAGAAACGCATTCGTCTGAGAAAAGTGCTAAGTTAAAAGGTTCAACGATTGGATTCTCTGCGGCTGTTGTTACCACATGCCAAACGATGACTGGATTTATTCTAAAAATAAACCGAGAGAAAAAAAATAAAACTGTTTTTCAACTCTGTTTTTTTTCCCTCATTTTATTTAATTATGCATCGCACTTAAAAGGCTCGTCCAACGTCTCTACGCCATGCCAATGTCATTCATTTACAATTATATATATACACGCACCCAATGAGTAGACAAAATAATATATTGTACAAGCGAAACAAAGAAAAATGCGTAGAAAATTTGCACGAACTTAGCTTCGACAGAAAAATTGTGTTGGGTCAAATCGTCGAAAATGTTTACACTCAAACCATATTTTCGAATAATATTGCAAAATACCAGAAATTCGAAAGCAAAACAACGCACAAAACAAGCCAAATATTTTGTTGTTGTTTGTATTTTTGTTTTGATTCAAAATTGTGTCAACCGTGTATTCTCTTAATGAAAATATTATCTTGAGTATCTCAATGAATGCGTTGATTGGATGTGCCACGATTTGTTGGTGAAATGGTCAAAATCGTATTGAAATTTCTACACAAAATGGGCACGCATCATTGAGATGCGCATTCGCGCATTAGCCATAATAATTAATGGCCTATGATAATAATATTATGAAGGTAGGTGCGTGGACGGATTTTGAACATTTCCACTGTCGCGCGTTTTGCGGCCGCTAAAACATGTTTGCAAACGCAGTGTACTTTTGCCGAGTTATTTCACCTTGGAATCGTATCGACTGAACAAACGACGTTTCACTTGTGTTTGATCGTCAATTTCACGATTTTATGACTAAGAATTTCGATAGATAAAGAAAAACCAAACAACAACAACAATAAAATTGCAGGCCACATTCTCTTGGCTCAATCGAGGAAAATAGAATTTTTTTTTTATTACGTTCGAAAGTCTAATATGCGCTGAACGCTGAATAAAAACACACCAAATTCGAGTAGTATCAGCTGTTTGTATTGATACATATCGGTCACATACACACATACATAGGCACCGGCTCGCGTTCTATGTTGAAAAAGAGAGCTGAACAGAGTAGAGCAGAGCAGAGCACATGCCGTGATGTGTGAGGCACATGTTCGTGACTGTAAATAGTAGCGCACACCAATACTAGTGCACACCATCGAATGAATATGAACCATATTTGAGCTAGCGTGTGATCGCGCTGTTTGCCTCCTATTCATCATCAATAAATGATTGTTTATTTTGCAGAAAATACGATGTTTGTTTGGCACGTAACCTGAAACCGTCTGCATATGTGTGGTAGCTCAAGCCAAATTGAAAGGGCTTTTGAAATTATTTTTATTTTCAAGTCGACACATGACATTTGCTCGCTTATAATGTCGAATGAACGCGTTGAAACGTTTATATATACATTTGTTTTAGCTGATTCAACTCGACTGCAACAAATGAGCATGAGCATATTAGTGCTTCATGTATATTTAGCTTTAGTTTTCATTAGATTGTCAATCAGGTTTTCTTGTCGTCTTAATTCAACGATTTGCATTAGAAATCGTTTTGAGAAAACGGTTAACCGAAACGATGCCAATAAAATCATTCCAATTGGAAGTGAATTTTTTTTTTACGATCGACCACATCGCGTCACGCACTTTGAAGGCTTAAAGTCAAAGCCACTTTCGAGAGTTTTTGGTTCTGTGCGAAATGTCGAAAAGTGTGTGTTTGCTCGACAAAATAAAGTTAACGTATGTAAATGCTTTTGGTTTTTGCCTGAATGCCAAACGTCTATAATTTGCATCGAATATCGATTTTTGCCTTCGTTATATTTTCGCCTGTACTCTTCAAGTATTCATTCGGTTGCAGAGTGTGATCAGCTGCTGAAGAAACAGCGAAATTGTTCTGTTTGTTTGGACGAAGGAAATTTGTTTTGTTCGATTGTGTGAGAATGCCTACCTCAATATATATATATATCGATTTTCTCCACGTACAAAGATCCGTGGCTAACGCATACAATGGCACTCACGCACACAGGCATACAATTTCAATGCAGCGTGTGTATGTGTGGATATCCTTTTTCTATCTGTACCTCCTTTATCCTTGTGCCTCAACACATGCTCACGTTTGCACAATGTGTCGACTCTTGCTTCCTCTTTGTTTGACTCTTTCTCACACTAACGCATTTGCGCCTGTCTTTTCGATTTGTTTATTGTTTGCCCGTTGCGTTTATTTCCCTTTTCACCGCACTTCGTTTCAATGAATGAAAGAAACACAAAACATATGTACATACAACTACAACGATGAGCTGCTGCTTTTACAGTCTTCCGTCGATGACGACAATCTCGTAGGAGAAAAAACTCCAACCAATTCGTGTTGCGTAGTTTATTGGCAAGAAAAATATGCGAAAAACGTCCTCTTTGTTTTGGTCTTTGAGTAAATGGCTGCTTATTGATTTCGTCTTTGAAATGCTTCCTGAATCTTTTTCTCTCGCTTGATTTAACTCGATGCTTATTTGCACATGTTACAAATGTCTCGAAAAAAATACAGAACGCAATTAGCACACTAAACGCTTACAATAATTGTCTCGAATTTGTTAATGGTCACACATAATTTTCGTAGATAATTATTAAAATTCACGTTTTATTTTTTTCCGCTAACAAAAAGCTCATTAGGTCAATATCGCACGTTTGCTTCATAAATGATTGTTGCTCATTATCACGTTTCACTGCTTCGATGAAAAATCCATAGAAATTTTATTTATACGCGAAACTAGATTTGCGACACAATAACTCCGATGCACGTTCAAAACCGAACTGCTAAAAATTGATGTGAACTTTTCTACGGTCGCTTCTTCTATTTATTCGGTCAATGTAATCGACGATTCGTCTAAAAACAATATTCACGAAAAGCGAAAACACATTGAAATTGTGTCTGTACGTTTGGTTTTTTTTTTGGGCAAAATGATATAGTATTCAACACGCGTGACACATGTATGTGCGACTGCCTCCAACAATCTCACTCAACGTTGTGGTGCTGTGCAGAATGAAAACAAAAATACAACACCGTCAGCGCAACGAATGTGTTGGACTAGAGAATAAGAAAGAGACGGAAAAAGTGCTCATACTTCTATACATACCATATAGTAGCAGCCTCAGTGTAGTGAAATAAGCAAAAGTCAGTGAAAAGAAAAAAAAACGCAGCACAAAACCGAATGTTATTGTATGAACGGATGACGACGACCCATACACATACGCCAAGCATAGAATCATACACATTGTTATACCGACGCACACAACACCGCGTGAAGAAGAAAAAACTATCAGGAGCTGAGACTGAGAACGATTCTCTCACACGAGGCACAATGACGATGATTACTTCCAAGCAACATGATCGGAATCATTTTTGTTTATGCGTACCATATCTAAATTCTTCCTGCTTTGTTTTTTTTCTACTGCTCATTTTCAATTTCAATCTAAACCACGATTCAATTGTAAACAACGCTTCCCACAAATTGCCTCGATTGGCGATTATCTGCGCAACAGAAATGCCTCCGACTATAAATCGTCATCGTTGCTTTTTCTCCGTATACATTTTCCCTTTCCAAGCTTTAATCATTTATTGCTATTCATATATTCATAAATCTCGCGTCTATCAATATATATTGGAAACGCGTGCCTCTTTGCCCACAGATGATGTCATTGATCTGTATTGGTGCGCGTGTTTTGAATTTCACTTCATATATATGTTCGTTGAGCGAAAATCGACGCTTTTGCACTATCGCAAACTCATACAACCACGGTTTCATTGAGATGCGAACACAAACGTTTCCCCTTCAGATAATTTGTTTTGATTCGAGTGCAGCGAATTATCTTATAAGACCAGTCATTCTTATTAGTTTCAGTAGATGGTGTTGGGAGCTTTAAATTCAACACGTAACAGATTCGGATTTGTTTCGACTTAAGCTCAATCTATTTCAGTTATTCCAAAATAGATGGCGTTTATCAAAATGCGGTCGTTATTTTTGAATTTTCACCAATTTGATGATTCAGGATATTCGAATTACTTTTCAGTTGCGAATGAATCATTTTGAATAAGATAAATATCCCAGACTAATCAATCCATTTCTTATCAAATGTTCGATTTTTAGAACACTAGGTAAAAATGTATTGATAAATGGTCCTGATCTTAAACAAATTCATACCAAATGGTTGGTCATTTTTGGAGAAAAAAGGTGTCATTTTGAAAAAAATTACTTAAAATACCCAAACACATGTATTTTGCATGCCCGACAAGAAATTTGCGAATAATCGCACTGCGGATAGCTGGCGAGTACCATGCGAATACTCTGAAATGTCATGCGAAGCCAACTTCAGGTTGGGACTGTACTGTTGTTCGCAGCGCGAATATTCGCAGGGTATTCAGCGATAACATTTTGCGGCAACTTTTATTGTGGATTCCTATTCGCATTGCGAGTATCCGCGGATATGCGACGGAGTGTCGGCGTACACCTATTTTACCGCAAATTTCTCGTCGGGATGGAAACATGGGGCAAAGATTCACATGTTCTTAGGGCAGTTCAGTTGTATTGACGATTTGATAAGAGATTTAGAAATAAAACACCAAAAGAAGTTCCAATCGATTAAGCCAAATGGAAAATGTGTGCGCCACGCCATTTTACCAACAACTCCAGACCGTTTTTCATAAATTCTTCAATTTCTTAAATCAGATTATCGAAAAATGGTCGAAAAGAATATTTTAATTAATTTGCATTATGAAAACGGCATGCTCAAAATGGAGTCCAGAATCAAGAGTCATCGATTTATATTTATAGATCATTGTGCCTGGCCAATAGTAGACTTGAGCTTCTCAATTGAGTCAACGGACCAGAACGATTGCGTTGAACAAAGCTACAAAGTTGCGTATAGTTAATGTGTCACTTTTAATTGCTCGTGCTCATTTCATTGGCCACATTGTTTTCAGTTAATCAGTTTTTGCTTGGCCTTGCATTTGTCGAGAATCACGGTGTGTGCGCGATTCAGCCCGAGAGGCATGTTATTTGCTCAATCATTCACCATTCAATCGATTCCTATTGGATGCGAGTGCAAAGAAGGAAATTGACAACAACAGTCTCAATTCTACGAAAGAAGAAAAAAAAGCCAACAGAGAAGAAATTCTTTTAGTCTTTAAACGGCCATGCTATTTATAGCGTTGATCTTTTGCATGATTATTGATGGTTTCGAATGGTATACACGCTTTGAATGACCGATGCCAATGTCCATAAATAAGAATTGACTGAATCCAAACAATTTCGATTCGACAGATCTCTGGCTGTCTCTCATCGCCGTTAATTTTGATCATGTCATTGAGGTAACACAACACAATGAATAAACGAATCAGAGGAGAAGAAAAACTATCGAGTAATTTTAGTGCGTGGTTCATTGTTGCAATGTGCTGACTCGATTTTTTTTCCGTAATTTTCAAATATTCGAAGTGATTTTGTCTTTTCTATTCTTTTCTATTTTTCCGTTGTGGTTGGCATTCGATGTAAACATACAAAAGAAATCGAATGATGACGACGATGAACTTATTTCGCGTTGTTTGGATATTCGATTCGGTATGGTATTGTCACCATTTTTTTTTACGGTTATGGTTAGCGAGGCATAAAGAACATCCAAAACAAACAAATGAAATTCGAACGAGTCCTCATCTCATGTGAACTGTTTAGATGTAGAAAACTGTAGTCGATTTCAGTTTCTGAACGAAATCTTTGGCTTATTTCGCGTCTTGTCGTGGATATTGTTTGAAATGATTGTGATGTGACTTCGCATGGCCAAAATGGAACGACAATAAATTTGTATAAACAAATTTAATTGAAGTCACTTTTATTGAAATTAGTAAACAGTTTAAGTAACAAATATTGTATTTGTATCCCCACTATTGAAGTCAAAGTCTCCTGCTGCTGCTACTGATGCTGTTTAACAAATTCAAGTGAAGAAATTGAGTTCGGTCTAGATTCAGATAAGTCATATTCTTTCTTTTTTTTTGATCTTTTTTCATAAATGATCAAATACTCGGAGAATTTCTGGCAACGAAATAACATCACGCCACACGTCGTGCTTTGATATGTCGAAAAGTACCAATGTTAATCAGCCAAAGTGTATCTGGTTGATCAGAGAATGTGAAAACGTTTTATCGATATTCAATCAACATTTTTCATGTTCAAATAAATTAAATTATTATCCGGTGAAAAAAAATGGTTCACAGTTTGATCAGAAAAATGAGCTTCGTTTTCATTGGAAGAAGTGTTTAGAACAAGCGAGCTTGACTTAATGAATAGCACCTTAAATCAATTAATTGAAAAATGGATTTGATCTGGCGCATAGCCCAAAATCAATTGCGAAGCAATCTGTTCTTAGAAGGATTTCCACCGCAGTATAATGTTTGGATTTCGAAGATTGTATTCCACCACAACGAAAAATATTACGTTGTATCAACATTTCCACAGTATCACAACGATTGCATACGCTCGACTTTTTGTTCTTGTAAATCCGAGCGTGATTTTTCTGGCAGGCGATTTCATTTTTTTTCTTCTTTGCAGTCGTCAATTATGAAATCGGTATCAGTTTGCAAGGCACGTGTTGATATTTTCGGCTTGTAAGCAAATTGAGATTTTTTCATGTATTTTTTGTGTGATTGTCTAATTACTAAAGGGCGAATGGAGGAAAAAAAATGAACGGCGAGTGTGGGTGCCAAAGCTAGACTTTATTTTCACGAATGTTGAGTACGACAACAAAAAATCGCAAATCCTCAGTGTAACCCAAACCAAGCAGTCGGAGTTTATCTGTTTCATAATCCGATTAAACCGTATAGCGACTGTAGCTATACAGCGGCACTATTGGTGTTTTTAATCTAAAATTGGAACAATGTAACACACAAATTACTGGAAATTCATACAATTTGTACGATTTAATTTTTTCAATTCGACTCATAGGCACTCGATCTGAATCAAAAGTATCATTATTCCATTGGGCTGCTTCTGGGCGCCAGGCACACAGTCCGAAATTTTAAATTCGGCGAACGATATACGTTCAATTGTCTTCGAAGCGTGAAAAATCTGTTTTCGGAACATAATGTTTTTAGATTTGCTGCATCATATTAAGACGAGATGAACACGTGAATACGCTTATTTCTTTGAATTTATCCATAATTTGGTGTTCAAACGAAGTGAAAAACAAAAGTCAAGTGCAAGCACGTGAAGAGATTGCCACATAAAAGAAAACGCCAAATTATCCACCTTTTAAAGTTTCTGCTGCTTTCAACAACATTGTTATCATTATGAAATTCGACGAAAAATCATTTTCGATTTAATAATTGAGTATGAACATTTCGGCGCGCAAAAAAAGCGCTTTCGCTCAATGCCATGTCATCAAGAGATATTAAGGCCTGAGCAATTTGAAACACAAGCTCATGCGATTACTCGAAAATCGGCTTTATCGGAAAATTGAATGCAAAGAGAAGATTTCGTGTGTGTATGTTTTGTTAACGCTGTTGTTGTTATTTTTTCTTCTTCACGGTGATACTGGAACAACATGTTGTGTACCGTGCACGGTGATGATTTGGTGAAAGAGTTTACCGCATGTTAAATGCATCCATAAGAGTATCATTTCGATCGTGCACACAAGCAACAACACTCCAACTAAATGAAAAGCGATTAATTAAGCAGATGGATATGAGTGTGTGTGTGTGTGTTTTTTTTAGCCACAAAAAATTAGACGACGTAGCAGCTGCAGCACCAAAACAATAAATAAACGTTTCAGTATGCTTGTATTTAATAAAAAAACGCAATCTCGCGGATCATGTTCTTTTCATTGTTTTTTTTTCTTCTTCTCGTTGCGCGCGCTGAATTTGTTTTTCCACTGCCACAGTTCCTTTTTTCCTTCGGTTATCCAGAGTGTTTTTGTCCTGATTGTCGCGTGGCCTTGCGAATTAGCAAGTGTATATGATTTGTTTGATGTGGAACAGATGAGA